AGATTTCTTTGGTTTTAGATACAGATAGGGTAAACTGCTTGGCATTTGACAGCATTTTTTTTCCATACTGGAACTGGTCATTTGAATCTTGTATCCAGATTCCACTTTTTCCCCCTACTCCAAAGGCAAAGGGTATTTAAATAGTAGAAGTTCCCTTGGAGGAAATATGCAAATCGACATCTCACCTCCCCTCCTCCCTTCCCCTAGTTATTAACTCTTTCATCCACTGCCTGAGAGAGACTGATCTCGGTTCTTTCAAATTTCAAGGACTGGGAGAGGGGGGGCAGAGGGAAGAGGTGAATTAAGCTCCTGTTTTCAGGAAACTTTGCAACATACAATCATCAAAGGGATCCAAACAGTAGGTGATTGGAGAAAAGTACATTGCCAACCTGGAGGGAGGGGAGGAAGAGAGACATGACAGTAGAAGTGCATTTGTCTGCATCTTTTGATTGACAGCCAAATAATAATAATAGTGCTGTGAGTGGGCGACAGAAATTGTATTCATGCAAAAAGACAGGAATGAGCTCAGAAGTGTAGACAATGGGAGGTGATTTAAAGGGGCAAAAATTTGCAATAGTTCACATAAAGTACACACATGTAGACCAACCTCAAATCTGCTAAAGCTTATGCTACAACTTTTGCATAGTTAGTCTCAAAGATGGTACAAGATCCCTTTACAACCCCAGGCATACCATGAAGTATGCCTCATAGTGGAAGTTGTCACCCAATATTGTTGAGGCTACAAAGTTAGAGAAATCCACCCTTCTCCTTCTAGACAGACTGCCTTTCTTTGCAAAACATCCAGAAGTGCCCATTAGTGAAATATGCTTGCTAAAAAGAACCAGTTTCTGTTATGTAGCACTTCTGCTTTACTCATTCCATTGTCTATATATTTGGAAACAAATACTGGTTTTAACATTTTTAAAAGCCTATAAGTTTTAAAAGCCTGAATATTTAAAAATCTCTGTCACATGAACCAGTCCACACACACACACACACACAAACGCATACATATTCTCCTGGAGGAAGGCCCTTCTATATCCCACCTTCATCTGATGTGTAGTTGGTGGACATGAGAGACGTGATCTTCTCTGCAGTGGTGCCCATTTTGTTTCATTAGAGTTGGGTCGCCCTTCTATATCTGTTTTTCAGTTTTAAAAATTGTTTATTTAAGTACCTTTTCCAGGACTTACTTTCCAATAGTTTCTTTTTGTCTTATGTTGTAGTTGTGTGCCTTCAAATAATTTCCAACTTATGGCCACCCTAAGGTGAACCTATCAAGAGGTTTTCTCGGCAAGATTTGTTCAGAGGGTGTTTGTCTTTGCCTTCCTCTGAGGCTGAGAGTGTGTGACATGCTCAAGATCACCCAGTGGGTTTCCTGTGCTCCAAAAATGTAACATTGACAGTCCAAACATAAGTGTTGTTGAGTGCTTTAGCTTTTATTTCTCAATTTGTATCATTCACTACAGTTTTAAATTGTTTTAAACATGCTATTAGCTATCCTTATGGACTCCATTGAGAAATGGTGAACTACGCACATTTAAATGAAGAAATAAAACATTGCAAAGGGTGACTGGTTAGCTCCCATATATAATGGGAAGTGTGAACGTCTTTAACAGCCATGTATGCATTTTAGTGAACCAGAAAAGAGTTATCATTTTCAATAAATATACTGTAAGTTGACCATTCCCACCGGCAAGTATGCACTGTAGTTACATAATAGAAATGCAGTTTGCTCTATGACCTGCTAATGGCTACATGGCAGCTCTTGAACTGACCTGGCCCTGAGGAACTGGGAACAAGAGAATTGTGAGTAACACAGATTGACAAGGAATGCTAATGGAAACTGAAGGGGACTGACACATTTCTAACAATATCAAGCCTCAGAGCATAAGACATGGAGGTATGGGGCAAAAACAATATAGTTATCTGATTAGAGATGGCAATTAAATGGGCCAGTCTAAGGTTTGGATTTATTTATCCACAGTTAGAGCCAGTTGGATATGGGAACAAGCTGATGGAGAGAAGGGCTTTTCAATACTGAACATCAATTAACCAAAGAGCATCATCTTGAAATGCATAGACCTGCCTGTGACTTCAATATACTATACCAACAAAATAATTTCTTATTGCAGTTTAATGGTGACATCCAAAGTATTTCTGCCATGCATGTATTACAGGCTCAGGAGCACCATTCAGAGACAGGTCCTGATAGTTCTCTTAGTCCAGCACACTAATAACAAACTCATTCTTCAAATGTGGATATTATGTAGTCAAAATAGCAGCAACTGCCCACAAAAAGGGAAGTATTGGCCAGGTATGGAGAAGTTTGCAGCTTTTAAAATTAAAAAAGAGGGGTGTTATGATGGCTGATTTAAAGACCCCTTTTGGGTCCCTGCCATGGCTCTGGACTGGGAGAAGCCCTTATCTCCATAGCCTCAAGGCGAACACATCACATAGGCACCTGAAATGTCACATCTGCACTTACAACAATTTGCAGATTAAAAGGGCCAAGCCTAGGAGCTGCAATGCAGGACATTCACACCTAGAAGATTTATGAGTGCCAGCCAGGATGTGTCCAGATGAAGATGAGATAACATTAACATCCCACCTCTTCCTTTGAAAGTTGATTATTTCAAAGAGTAGTAATCGGAATCCTTTGATATACAATAGCAATTCTTTGTCTCAGGCTAGGTTTAAGGTCATAAAAGATCCCCAAAATCTTAGGCAAATGGGGTGTGGTTAGATTTCATTGTGACACTGCACCACTGTGAACTCTGACTTGGGTCCCGGCTCTTTCCATCGTCCTTTCCCTTTTCATAATATTATTATTATTATATAATGGTTGAGTCTATCTATCTTCATTAATCATTCTCCTTCAGGTAATTATCACCATTAGAAAGCCTTGTGTTTCCTCTCCAAGCTAACTACTTTATTCCTGATTTCTTGTGTGTATGAGTGAATGATAGAGTGTCTTTGTATGTTTGAATCCCCAAATAAATCACAGTTCATTGGAAAGCTTTGTCTCTATCAGTCTATTCCCTAGCCACCTCCATAAACATAGGATAAAAGATCCCATTAAAGACTTGGACTTTAGTAATTCCGCAAGTTCAATCCTTCTTTACAGAGGAGAGAGAAACTCCCTAAAAAGCCCAGTAAAAACTAGCATGGTCAGTATATAATGCTTGGATATGTGGTAAAATACAGTAAGCTCTTGGTATCTGCTGATTCCAGGACCCCCTGTGAACACCAAAAATCCATGGATGCTCAAGTCCCACTAAATACAATGGCAGAGTAAAATTATGTCCCTTATATAAAATGGCAAAATCAAGGTTTGCTTTTTGGGATATATATATATATATATATTCAAACAATGGATGGTTGATTCCATGGATAAAGAATCAGTGGATACAGAGGGCTGACTGTAATAGAAAATATAATAGAAAAGAGGATTAGTTTTTTAAAAATGGTTGTCTGGCTACAGTTTGCAACAGTGTAATATTTGGTTGCAGTCCCATATTTTGTCATAGGGAGACAAAAGGGGGAGAGGGAGACATACTATGGATATGTTAATCTTTGAGCAAGATTTTAAAATTCTGAACAAGTGTGGCATGGGGTGAAAGGATAAGCATGAGGAGAAATCCTGACAGCTACAGAGGTGGTCTTCCTAAGTTATCATTTACCTCTACAGACATTGCTGGACTGCAATTCCTCACTAGTGGCTATGCTGGCTAGGGCTGTGGAGAGTTGCAGTTCAACAATATCTGGAGAGCAGCATGAGTCCCGCATCTGGTTTTACAGTAAATTGTAGCTGTAGTAAATTCCTGTGGGTACCAGATAGTAAGTATGTTGTCAGCCTTTCCTCTCTTTTAAAGTACTTTCCACCTTTGGAGAAGAGCCCAGGCAAAGAAATGGTGTTGTTTCCTGTGAATTCTCTCAGATGGTTTGAAAGTCTGCCCTGTGCTCCCTGTGCTTTGGTGCCAATAGGGGATCTGGGCCAACAGCTTCTTCATTTCTGCCAGCTCTCACAAGCACAAGGCATAGTTAGCTTTCTGTCCTGGCTGTAATTTGTTCTCTCTATCCAGTTTTGGTTCCTTTTGCTACGAATGCAGGCATTCAACCGACAATGTAATTGCAGAATTAGAACTGCTCATTTTCTTATTGCCACACTATAGTTAGGGAGATGCTAGGAGACTCTCTGGCTGGAGAAGAAAGGATGTGGTCTTCTACTCTCCTTTTCATTTTCCAGACTAGAAAAAGGGGTTAATAAGTAACCTGCGTCCCTCAACATATTTGAGGATGGAGCGTCAGTTACCAAAGATCCCACAACTGCAAATGAATGGGTTTGGCTTTAACAAAAACAAAATGTTAAGATATGATGTAAAGGACCCCACATCAGCCTTTCCCCCCTATTTCTGTATTGCATTGACTTCTAGCTAGTTGCCACTTGCATTGACCTTTCTTTTCACGAAGGAGAAATGTACAGCACACTCTTGCACACATACACACATTTATATACACAGAGAGACCCCAGGAGAAAGACTAAAAGTCTGCTTTTCAATATTCACTGCCACATGTTTACCTTGGTAAAAACTAGAGTGTAGAGACATAGGTGCAAAACATAATGCAGAAATAACCCAGTCAGAGACCACTGTAACTGCCCTGGCTCAGTGTTAGGGAATCCTGGGAATTGTATTTTATTGTGGCATCAGAGCTCTCTCACAGAGAAGGCTAAATGTCTCACAAAACTATATGTAGAGATATCCTGTAGCATCTTTGAGACTAACTGAAAGAAAGAGGTTGGCAGCATGAGCTTTCCTAGACTGAAGTCTAGGAAACTCATGCTGCCAACTTAAAAGAAAAGAGGTGGGTGTCTTTGGAATATATGAAGCTGCTTTACTGAGTCACACCATTCATCCATCTTGCCTAGTACTGTTGGCACTGATTTTCAGTAGCTCTCTGTGGCTTCAAGCTGGAACTTCTAGCCCCATCTCAGAGACTGAACTCACAGGGATTGAATCTAGAACCCTTTGCGTGCAAAGCATGTGCTCTGCCACTGAGCTATGGTGCTTTTCCTGTTGCTTTGGACAGAAGAAACATCAAATATTTTATGTTAAAAGACTCAAAAGATTTGTTCAGAGGTTTGCCATTGCTGAGAGAGTGTAACTTGCCCAAGGTCATCCAGTGGATTTCATGGGCAAGTGGGGAATCAAACCCTAGTCTCCAGTTGCAGTCCAGCACTCAAACTAATACACCACACTGACTCCCTTTCTCCTCTCATCACCCTATCACTAATACTATCCTCCTTTCTCATCATACTAGGTTTAGGTCAGTACCTACAACTAAATGTCGGAAGAAAAAGAAGGGAGACTGTGCCCTTCAAAGTTCTTTTATCCATACAGGGATGCTTGAGCTAGTCAAGACACACTTTCCTGTCCTCCACTGCACAGATGGAAAGAACAACAGGTAGATAGTTCACAGGTTTTATGCAGTAGTGCAGCAACCAAGAGGTAAACAATGGCTCAGGGCTGGAAAACCTGTGGCTTTCCAGATTTTGTTGGACATCATGCCTCATCACCCTTCATCATCAACTATCCTGGCTAGGGCTGGTGGGAACTGAAGATCATCATCACCTGTAAGGGTGACATTCCCTCCTCCCTTGCACAAAGTATTAGGAAATGAAGAAACTCTTTACACCACATCCTACTGAAATTTGCTTCAGCAGGAAATCTTTGCCCCAAGTACAATGAATTTCCAATCCTAGAAAATTTACTTTCTCAGATTACAGTTCCCAGAATACTTCAGCTTACATGGTCAGTTTAGATCAGGGGTCGGCAACCTACAGCCCGGGGGAAAACAAAATGGCGGCTGCGACTCGCTCGCGCATGCACAGTACACCTGAAGTACTGTGCATGCATGAGCGAGCGTGCACATGCGCAGTACTTCTGGTGTACTGTGCATGCACACACACGCAAATGCGCACAGTGCCATTTTCCCCACCCACCCATCCACCCTCGGCCAGCGGAAGACCTGGGGACCGGCCCCAGGTAAGAAAAACTTGCTGACCCCTGGTTTAGATGCTGGCATCCAAAAAGGTTGACTTTTCCAAGTTTCACCAGAATACTCCATCTGGTGGCAAGAGACACTAGTCCATGAAGATGAACCTCTTGTTTTGCATTACCCCTCCAGTTCCTCTGTCTTTTGGATGCTAATAAACATGACAGCTACTGGGAGGATTCTACTTTTCTCAAGAAAGAATGGCAACCAGGAGTTCCAACATCTTTCAGCTAGGACTGTTCCACTGTAAACACCAGAAGCCTGGTATGACTCCAGTCTCTCATTTTGTTACTTTAAAAGAAAAGTATATAAAATTCTCTCAGTTGTCTCATGATTTGAATTAGGGAGATTCTTATTTCCAAATAAAAGCCACAAGGATGGAAAATAGATTTATTATAACCACACTGGAAAAATCTCATGAAGTTGGTCTACATGCAAGTTAATGTTCCCTCCTTTGCCCCATCTACATAAATTAAGTTTGTCCACTCTTTATCTTGAAAGCCAATCATGTTAGAAAACCCATGTTTTTAGGATTCATTACCAATTAAACCAACATGGTGAAAAACCTAATTAACTATATAGACAAGTGTATCCCCGATATCAGTCGTCCGCCCATTCTCAGTGAGACGGACCCGTTTTTCTGCTAGGTCAATGTGGAAAACAGCTTGATCTAAAATGGGAGATTTCTCAGCATCTTCTTTTCCAAGTATGGGAACACGACGCGGGCCCAGGAGGGGGTCATCAAATCTCATTAGCTTCACTCTGGCAAGATCTGGAGGGAAAAGTTAAGACAGCACTTGTAAGACTTTTTTTTACTGAAGTATACTTAACACAGTAAGGCTGATGCAAGATATTTAGCAAAGATAGATGGGTTAACAACACTAGCTAATGTTAACTGCATAGACTGCTTCATCAGTGGCTTGAATGGTGTTTACAAGTTGGTATTTAGGCCAGTTGCTTAAAAGTCAACAGAAGCCCTTAATAACTAAGACGTAATTAAAAGGCAAGATGGGGTCAAGGGTATACAGCATGAATGTACTCAACAGTGTGATATGCCACAGAATGAGTGAACAAGGGAAGGGTGAAAACTTCTAGTTCTCTCAATGTATTTATTTGTCTTGTAACAACCACACTGTGGTATTTTAAGTGCTGCTCCCAAAATAAGATGGAACTTGACCAAAACATCTCTGCACTGACAGCTTTGCACTTCTAAATTAGGGGTGATCAACTGTTGGAGGCTAGTGGGCTGCACTGGCCTCCCAAAAAACTTTAGAGATCCACATCCACACTTTACCCTGTCCTATAATTTTTTTATTAAACAAAAAATCAATCAAATTTATTATTTTGGGTGATGCAAGATGCTTAGCAAAGATGGATAGGTTAATCTCTGGAGGGACATTTTTACCATGCTTTTACCAGCATTTAGTTGGTAACTAAATGCTTTTAACATGATAATGCCTTTAACATGATAGTGATAATTACTTACCACATGATGATACTGATAGTGATACTTATTACATAAATGTTCCTATTTTAAAATGCCATGGTTTACAGAAATGTGAAACACAAAAATCCTCAGTGCAACAGTTCTCCATGTGAAACAGGATTGATTCATTCACTCATTTATTAAATTTTTATCTGCCTTTCTCCCAGCATGGAGACCCAAGGTAGCTTGGAGTGTTAGAATTACAGGTCATTTCCCAACAACTGTGTGTCCCATGAACTGAATCTGACACAACAGGAGAAAGGAGTCCAAAAAAAAAGTGGGAGGTATTTCTTTCTTCAGCCTCAACTAAGCTTTCCTTCTAATAAAAAGCTTGCCTCCTAATAAGCAAAGAGAATACTACAATGCTGGTTAGTGACAGGTATTCTCCTCTAAATTGTGACAATTAAGCTCCTTGAGCAGCAGATTCTTCTGTATTGAAAAGTGGAATTTTAAAAGTTTTAAAAAAGATTTCTGCACACTGTCCTTGTATATCATTGCCAGTAGGCCAGGTGACAGTTCTGGGCAACATGTCATGCAATTCTCTTATTAACCCAATGACAAATTTCAAAATATCAGATTCCATGTGAATTTGTTTTTAATGATGCTCCAGTCTATGTATGTTTGGTAGTACAGGCCTGAAAGCTTGCAAGATTCAGAGTTTTTAAAAACTAAAAAGTAACAATTTTAGTTATTCTTGAAAAAGTGAAGAGTTGTTGCTGTGTGCCTTCAAACTGTTTCTGGCTTATGGTACCCCCAAAGTGTACCTATCACTGCATTTGTTCTGCAGGGGTGGGTGGGCTTGCCTTTGCCTTCCTGTCAGGCTGAGAGAGTATGACTTGTCCAAGGACACCAAGTAGGTTTCCATGGTTGAGCAGAGATTTGAACACTTGTCTCCAGAGTCCTAATCCAATGCTCGAAACACTATGACACGCTGACTCAAGTGTAGAGCTACTTTTTGGAAATTCCAAATGTTAACAGTAACAAGCTACTTTTTAAAATAAATTGCTTTCAAAAATAATGTTCTACATTCAGTTTTAATTGAGGGGTGGACAAGTCTGATGGGGCTGGAATCCAATCTCTACCCAAACATACTGCAGACCACAGGAGCCCCCAAAATAAAACTGAAGATGACTAGAAATCTATTTACAAGGCTGTGGTTTTTTAGAGGGATGGGGACATATTTGAGGCTTGGGGTGGGGTTTTTTGGGACTGCAAAATTGGTTAGGATCCACATAAAACTGTCCACCTGTTTTAACTGCTATTTCTATGAATCAATTTTCACAGATCTAGAGAGCTATGCTACTTTAAC